TCTTACAGCACTAAACTATGTTTTCTACCTTTATCTTGCATCTACCTACCACTTCAGCATTTTATTAAAAATATAAATAATAAATAATAATAAAGGGAGAAATGTGGGATCAACATATAAATCAAGTATAAAAATCAAATGAATGCTCATATTTGACCTGATTGTTTATAGTTCACAATGCGTGATCAAAACCGAAAGTTTCCGTGATGACTGCCCTGTACTGTTCACCATGTAAGAACTTGTTCGTTATGCTTCAGAAGATTGGAGACTGACGAGAATTAGGCTTGAGATGGATTAATGATTGTGCATTGAGCATTGACTCCCTTTTACAGAATTTTATTGTTGCTAACAACCATTTGATCAATAAATATGAGAGATGCCCTCTCAAAAAAAAAAAACATTTTTATACTTGATACTGATCACAATATTCAGGCCGGAAAGCATAGTCAAGATGACGTTATGGCAGGTTTATGGAAAAAGCCAATGCATATACCCAGTGTCTACATGTCAAAAAATTATCTAATACTAAATCTTTTCAGTGATTCCCTTCTTAAATATGAATTCTGAGGAGAGAGTTTTTGCTGAGATGTCAAATGCAGTCAGTTTGAACAGCAGTTGTACTGACTGCGTTTTTACACCCTACAACACTAAGAAGGAAACCGGCAAAACAGTTTTATGCTCACCAGCATGGGGCACTTTTGATTAAATTTCAAGGGTTCGGCCAATTCACCTTTTTTTATCCAGGTATAATTTGTACACAGTTATGTTTTATTCAGCTAGGAAAATCTACCTTTGTCAAAAAAAGAACAGATTATTTTGGTGTCAAAAATTCACTTGACAAATGTCATTGTTTACATTTTTGCTTTTGGCATTAATAAAAGAATAATTTCTAAAAAAAAAAGAAAAAGAAATCCTGCCATTTGCAACAATATAGATGCATCTAGAGTGTATTATCCTCAGTGAAACAAACCAGGCGGAGAAGGACAAGTACCATATGATTTCACT